GCATTTTATTGTAAACTTCACATGTTTTATGTTAATGTAACTATTTAAGCCCTTTCTTGCCTTTCTTTTGACAGGAAAGGGAGTATTTGTTTTGTCTGATTTTGACTCTCAGGAAAGCAAGTTACAATTACCCAAAAATGTCTATCCTTTATTCTGACCTCTGCTTTCCAAAAGTAGCAGTTTAGGCATGATGCACTTTCCAGAGAATGGAAATATCTTACCTGGGTAATCATTCTTGTCAACATCTGAGTCTCCTCTTAGAGTGAAGCCAAATCCTGAAGGCATGGACTGTGAGGCCCAGGCTCCACTGAGAACCTGGGAAGGGTTAGTATTTAACCCATTACTGTATCCATTATAAATGAGCACTTTCCCTCTTCTGTCCTCTCCTGCAAATGGTGCACCAATAGCAATGTCTGCAGTACAATAAAAAAAAAGAATGGGCACAATTAAAATGAAACAAAATTAGGACCCTGCAGGAAAAAAAAAAAAAAAAAGGCTTCTGCTACATACATGCAAGAACTTCAATGTTGTTTACTTCTGTATGGATTCTAGTTTTAAGGCAAATACACAAATATGTTTGTAGTGTCTTTTCTTTCATCATAAAGGCTCATTAAATCATCCGATGAAGAGGCAACTGCATTGCACTAAATAGCCAGTCCACACTGGATTCCTCTACTGTATTTGCAGGGCATTCCATAAGCTTTAATAATGCAAGATCTAACGTATCCCTGCTTCTACTTCCATATTTTTAAACAGACAAATTTTCCTTGATTTCCTCTATTACCTGATTAATGAAAACAGCTGTTAGATAAAATTAGTTTTCTTTTTCCTAATATTGAGTAGACAAAATTGCTTCCCCACCCACCCCCCAAACATCCAGTGCATACCCAGTATGGAAAAGAGAACAACGCTACGCGTTTTCATCTATACCAAGCCAATATCTTATTAAGAAATGGGAAATAGTAATGAGTCAAGAATTTAACAGGAAGCCCTGGACTATGTGATCAAGCACTGCAATCCTTATAAAAAGGGACGCCATATCCAAGAAGTGGAACTCACACTGCTCTTCTCAGTTCCTACACATGGGACGTGGAGAAAACCACATGTCTAGATTGAGATTTGAAAGACACACTAGCTAACCTAGCCAATAGGAAACACTTGAGGAGAATATGTATCTACAGCTCTCATTTTCAGGTTCTCATCTAGGAGTTGATGCTGGACTCCTTTATTAAACTTTTTTTCATCACAGGGAATTTGTACCTTCACTCCAAATGCAGGAGTGCTCTATGAATGGCATCTTCAGTTATGAAGTAGATGGCTGTGGCTCTAGATTCTTCTTCGCCTTCTTTATACAGCGAGAGAGAAGCAGAAATGTCTCTTCCCTTCCTTACCAGAGTGCTGGTGAGCATGGATAGCAACTCTCCCTGCCCAGAGAAGCTGAGGTCATCTTTTATTGCTCACAGGTAGAAAACAAGAAATCTCCACTGTGGGGTCCAGCTGGGCTGGTCTATGGTGGGATTCCAGTACAACCCCCAGTGAGCGGTCAGCAGTCACAATCCAGGGGCTTCCTCCCACAGGATGATGCTCTTCGGATTTTGTGCACACTGAACCCTAATACAATCCTATAGCTCTTGCCATGACTTACCCCTTGCAAAGGAGCAACACATTGGTGACACTGTCCTAGAGGCTTGCCACTAGAGCATCATGAAAACCAGCCATTTTCTGTTAAGTTTTCAAGTTAAAGAGGAGCCAAGAGTATTAACTTTTCCTTAGTGGGACAACTATCTTTAATGTTACTGTGCAAACACCTTGTCCAGGAAAAACTTGGAGTTTTAGATTCAAAGATGCCTGCTTTGCATATCCCTAACATCCTAGGAATAAAAAGTATGGAAATAGAAATGCACAGGGAAAAACAAAGTGCTACTGACCATATCTAGGGGGTTAATTCTAGGCACTCAAGGCATCCAGGCTATCGCAGATAATCAAGCAAGTTAGTTTATTTGGACTGCTTCCTTGAATTCAGTCTCCCAGTTAACATACATGATCATTTTGTTGTGTGCATGTGCACTTGAAAAAGGTCCCATAATATACCTGTTTCTTTCGGTGTCTAAGTACCAATGGAAGTCTGATTCCAAAACAGTATGTCTGTGCTTGGACAATTCTTTCATTGTGGGCAAAAAGCTCTATTTGCCCAGCCACATTCCCAAACTCATCCAAAGCATTTGAGGAGAGGAGAACTCTGCAGTTGAATAAATGCAACACCTCAACTAAGTATTGAAATGTAATTGTAGTCATAAAACTACAGATAGTATTTTTTATTCAAATGAATGTGCTAATATTTAGTAAAGAATGGCACTGTAGTCAACATGACTGCCCTCCTATAGGTAAGCTTCACATGGTTTGGCCCTCATTGGTTTAACTGGGATTTATATTAATCCTTGCAACTTCCAACAGTAGTTACACGTAAAAAGCTTTTTTCAGCCACTGCAAACACTTCATATTCACTGCTGAGCTATTTTTAATTTCAGTGTTACATATAAAATTATTACTACATTACATATAAGTTTACCGTTATATCCATCTTGATTGAGATCTCCAAGGTGTGTGATTGCACTGCCAAATCTACCAAACACTTCAGTGCCTGTCAAAATTTGTGCATCTCGGAAGAGAAAAGCACTTTCTTGCAGGTATAAATAAACTTGCCCAACTTCTTTAGGTTTGCTTTCAAATTCTCGTTCCATAAAGAGAGGAGCGCCAACTAAGATATCATCTAAACTGGAACAGTCAAACAAAAAAACAGTGTCACAGAGATTGATTATAACTAACACAGTTCAAACATTTGTTAAAGTTGATAATTATCATAGGCACAGAAAAAATGAGGCAAGAAGGCATTTCTGAATTTCTAGTCCAAACACTTGGTCAAAGCATGGCCAGTTAGGGAAGGCTGCCACACTTCAGTTTTGAGCATCTCCACAGAAGGAGACTCTACAACCTCTCTAGGCAAATACTTCCAGAGTTTGGTCACCCTCACAGCAAAAACGTTCCTTCCCAGGTTGAAGAAGAGCTTCTTGCACTTCAATTTATGCCAACAACAGGCACTGAAAAGCTGTACTTTGCACTTCATGATCCAGAAGTCAGGAATTTAACTGACAGGGGTTACTATACCAAATTCTGTAGATCTAGCCTGCTAACAGTGCTAGTAAGAGACAAATTTTAGTGTAAAAATTATACATCAGTAAGTGAACAAGGGAAGAAAAACTGCCACTTTCCAGCAGATTTTTGATGCAATATACATGAAACACAGGTAGAGCTTCAATAGAGAATGCCACATCACTAATTCAAATGGTAGCTGGGAGACAAAGCCAAGGCTTTATTTCAGAAAACACTCATGTTGAATGAGTAGTGCATTCAGTAGTGCATGAGTATTTGCAGTGCTCATGTAAATTTGCTGCATTAAGTATTAAAGAGAACAGACATCATAAAATTACCAAAATATGAAGCTTAAAGGGAAAAGTTGTTCTGTTCATTTTGCTACTCCCAAGAGGAATCAGTAAAAGACGCCAGACTAATCAAAGGATATTTTGCATGTTACTGTTCCAAGTAGGGGTGCTACCCCTAAATAAATGCTACCAGCATTTTTTTAGCAAGAAAAAACATCAGTAAACAATAAAAATCAGTCAAAATTGATACACAAAATAAGCAGAAATATTCTTAATAGACTATTCTGAGATATGAAACGATCATATCACATTAGTTTCTGAAGGTTGCTCAATCCTCCTATATAATACGATAATTCCCATTATATTCAGTGGACATCAATCATCCATATTAAAAGAACTCGTTTTACTCATGTGAAAATTTGTTCAAACTTTGTAAAAGTTATAGAAAACTCTACTCTCAATTCATAATAAAGCCAACAGTGATGTTTTCACAAGGGCTCTATCCATCAGTAAAAGTGCACTACATTGTTTTTTCCAATTCTGATAGAAAAAATTATTTAGGAGCAGCTCAGCTACTACTTTACCATAGATATATACTTTTGTTCTCAGATGTATACCATAGAACTTGGTACAGAATATCTCACCTAAAAGCCTTTTAATGACACTGTAGAACTTACACATTATACAATTTGTAAGAAAGTACTACAAGAAATTCTTTTTCTATTAAGTTTTATAGCATGTTTCCATACAGGAAACTGTAATACAAAATATCAGGTCACTTTTGTACAGTTGTTCTATTCTTTGTAGGTCAGATTTTACCCTATGGCATGAATAACTAAAAAAGGAAGGAAACAGAGGCTGACTTGACATCAAAGCTGAGATTTTCCTTTCACACTAAACATCAGAAGTCCTCCTCTACTAACGGAAGTTGTGATGTTCATGGTTGGGACAAAATGTCAGCTGAAACAGTTGCTGTGAAACAACAGTAACAACAAAAACAGGTCACGAATGCTCTTTTTACTTTTTTTACAAATTATTTTATGTATGTCATTTACTAGAAGCATTACAGAGTACCACTTATCAATTACTATTTTATTACATCACAGTCCACATATGCCCAGTAAGACTGGGACCCCACAGTGTTATGTCCTGTATAAACCATGAAGTAAAAGACAAGCTTGGCTCCAATGTATATTTTATAAATGAAGGCTTGTAAGACTAAGGGAAGTTTTTGAAGATTTTTTTTTTTTTTAAAGATGTAGTAAGGAACCAAAAGATTCAGAACTAGGAAACTCCCAGTACATCCATGTAAGATAAGTAGATACCTTCAGAACTCTGGTCCACAGAGTAATATCCAGACTGCCTAAAATGTTGAAAAGAGAGAGGCACACTATATATCATCCACTGTGGTCTAAAATTTTCTGAGCAGAAGAAAGAGAACACAAGATTCACCAGGTGACACAGAAAGCAAGCAGACAGCAGCTGGATTTTGTTGTCCAGGGATCACAGCATCTGAGGTGGAAGTGCACAGTGCTGGGTTATTTTTCTAGGAAATATTCTCCTTTATTAAAATAAATTACAATGATTGTACAAAATGCATGAATAGTCCAGGGAGCAGTGACCAGAACCCAGCAGATAAGATGGCTAGTCTTCTGTTGTGCTGAGGGAAAGGCAGGAGGAAGGCACTCATCTAAATTACACAAACCTATTTCTGGACTGGTTACAGGCAGCAGAGGGACCTGTAATACCCACAGCACTTTGCTTGCCTTCCCTCAAGGTCTTGGCATATGCCACCAAAGCCATCCTTTCCCCACTGTCTTGATTTCCCCCCTTCTCTGTCAGTGTTGAGCTCTGTAGGCCAATGCAAGCTGCTTCAGCAAGTCCTCTGCAAGAAGGAATTCTCCCTCAGGCAATTCTAGGGTTTTGGGTTTGTTTGGTTGTGGTTTTTTCTCCACTGTCACAGCAGTGTACTATAGCAAGAGAGAAAGGATTCTTCAGCTACCCTACTCTCTCAGATCCTCATTTACTTATTCCTGGTTTCTTTCCAAGTGGATAATAAAAAAGCAATCACTGTTTACCATGCTTTATAAGTCAGCTTTACTTCCAGTTTCTACAGGTTAAGAATTAAGACACCGAGCAGCCAAGGAAGGGTCTCTTGCTGCGTTATAAATATGGGATTAGAATTCCATGTTTTTGTTGGTGAAGGAGGATATTTCAATTGGCTTTTAAGCTGTAGAAGTTTATATTTACAAAACTGGAGTTCTGATCCCTTTTAAAAAGCTGTAAGAGCAGAGTGAAATCCCCTAGACCCTAATATTGAACCATAAAGTGCAGTTGAGATTGCAGTGGTATCTTAAGCTGGTTCGTTAGACATATTTCATTACTGCACAAAAACATTGCAGTTATATATTTATTTTTGTTCCAGCACAGAAAGTTAACCAGCCAGTACTGCTTTCCTTATAATAAAAAAAAACAACTTTAAAAGCATAAGCTGCCCACCTGCGGAGACTGTATGCAGTTTCTTTGTATTCTGTTCAGTAATAAAAAGCAGGAGTATGGGAAATGTCAAGAGATCAAAGTATAACTATGGGAAGCTTTGATATAGACCAAATAAAAGACCATTAAACAGTTTATTCTAGTATTTTTATTGGACTGTTTCAGTCCAAATTGAAAGTGTTCTCTTTTTTCCCTCTTTACTAGAAATGTAGTCTCTAAATTGATGGTAAAGCTTGATTTCTTAAGTTTCATTGTGGGTTTCTTATTATTAGCAGTGGGCAATTAAAGAATAGTTCAAACAACATCATCAATTTCCCTTGTTCTGCCTACAGTACCAGTGCAGTGTAGATAAAACTGCAAGAGTCACCCTGGAACAACTGCAGAACTGCTGGAGCAGGTCTACAGAGCTCTTCTCCTAGGATGAGCCTTATCTTTGACCCATGTCTGTCTTCAGTCTTACTATAGCAACGCATCATTCCTACTAAGTTTTTCATCATACAGCTTAATCAGGGTTCTCATACTGATGAGGCCACTACTGCCTCCCTTTGTCCCTAGCTGCAAAAAAAACCACAAGTGAATTTGAAGTGGTCATTCCCCTTTTGCTTTTTTCCCCCTCTGTTTTATTCTCCCTTTCAGATAAATATTTCTACTGACTATACATGCAAACCAGCAGACAGACTACATATCTAGTCGGATGTGTTTACCAAGTAGAGCTTTTTGTGCTTTGTTTTCTGTGGGATCTTTGGATATCAGAGAGTGTCATTAGATTTCTTTTATGATATAGACTGGGAGACCACACAGGCCTCAACAGCAGTTTGATTATATTATTTACATAAACTGTGGTCTTAAGAGGTATACAGAAAATATGAGACCTGCCAAGTAATGCTATGGTTCACAGGAAATTACCTGCACAGAAAATAGTTTGGTTCAGTGAGCATTTAAGTAGCAAGTTCCCAAAAAGTCTAACGAGTGTCTGTTGTAAGGCAGATGAATGTTTCTCCACCTTTTCATATCAGTAATGCATTATGGTAGGACTAAATTAATGACTCCGTATATCATAAAACCAGGAATATTCAAAAGTTATGATACTGTGACAAAATTTGACCTCAGAAGCTTGGAAATATTTGAGTACCATGAAGCCATCACAGAAACTGTTGAAGCTTCTTTTTTGTTGTTATTGCAGTTCTAAAACAAAAACAACACTCTCACCTTGTTATTTTTCTCTTTTCTTTTACCACTCACTCTCTAAAAGAGTCACTAGTCGCAGATGGAAAGCAACGAGTTCGCCCCGAAAAATTATTTAATGCATTATGTTTAAGCACAGAATAAGAAATAATCACAAGGATATGGAGAGGATGTATCCAAGACATTTTGTAATAGGCAAGAGTATGCCACAGCTCTAAACATAATCCTGGCTCATCTTCATGCAACCTCCCAATGCTCTGAGCTTCAGGGACCTTTATCTCCTTCCTAGAAAGCTAGTATCAACATTCACTTACTGAAGTTCTGATGTTCTAAAATGTTTAATAAGACCTCACCCAAGTTCAGAGTTAGCACGTGTTTGGTTCAACAGGCCTGAAATTCCCTGGGTGTCTTTGGCATGACCCTGAGTTAGCTGAGCAGCATTCTTCCTCAGACGTGTGCAATGCCTGTCCTAACAACTATGGGTCACAGATGCTTTTTGGTTCTCTGGGTGATGAAAATGGTGGCCAACCAGCAGCAGCTGGAACAAGGTGCTGATGATACTAGAAAGTTTTTAAAACTGACAACTGAAGCTATGGACGTTCCATATATGGGAAGACTTACCCGCTTTAGAGAACAGGAAAATGAACTTTTGACTTCCACTTTTGTCTTCCCAGCAGTAGCTAGTGCTGTTTATTCACTGTTCATCTACCGGGATCTGTTTCTTAAGACTTTGGACATTCCCGCTCTGCCACACTGCTTTGAATAAATATTCAGGAAAACAAACTCATCCAAACTAGGCCTGCAAATACCTATGCCACTGTCATTACACAGAGATAAGCTTATGTGAACAATCAGAAGTAGGAAAGCAGAGAAGCCAATAGAAGCATTCTGAGGTATGAAACACCTGAAAAACCTGTGTCTATTAATAAATATCAGGCAGTGCTTCTATGAATGTTCAGTGGAGCCAGATTTGGTAACTTACCCATCATTGTTAACATCAGATACTGCAACAGTGTACCCAAAATAAGACGCCATCTGGAAATAAAAAAAAAACAAACCAACAAATAGGCTTTCATATCAGAGATCAATTTCTAATTTAACTGACAATCATCTTTGCTTCTATGGTCATTAATTTTAAAAAATATTTCATATATTCTTGAAACTATGTTAATGAAACGATATCCTCTAGAGTTAAAATATCGCAGCATGTAGTTGCTTGACATTACCTGCTCACCCGTGAAGTTCTGGATAAAGGTCAAGTCTGAAGAATTAATAATTGAGACCTGGTAACAAGAAAATATGGAAAGTTTCAAAACACACATGAAAATGCTACAACATAACATCACCACAAACCAATCGGACAGAGGGAAGGATGGGGCAAATTGCAAAGAAAAAAACAGTTCTTTTCTGTCTCCTGTATGATCTCGAACAAACCACTAAGATTTTAATTCTTGGGTCCTCCATGAATAAAATGGGGAAAGGACTATTTTCCTTCCTTACTCAACACTGAACAGCAGCAATTGACAGACTATCAGCTAACTAGTAACTCATTAAGCATGAAAACATGAACTTAAACCAAAGAAATACATACATGCATATACATATCTATGCACACCCCCCCCCCTTTCTTCTGTAAAACGGTATGAATAACTTCCAGAGACACAAGAAAGTTTGGGTTCACAAAACTAGAAAACATGTCTGTCTGGGATCTGTGTTTCTTAGTCAGGTTACTTTTGAAACCTTTTTCCCCTATGAGGTAAAAGCTGTATCCAGGCATGCATTTTTTTTCTCCTTTAACTTCTAACTGCATAACATGACTCTTTGCATCTAGTATTCAGTGTATACACTTAGCGAGCACAGAAAACACACACTGGGTACCAATAACCTGAATTTCTCTCCACTTGGACACAGCATTGCACGTGAAATAGGCTAACCTATGGGTAAGCTGAGGTCTGATAGTACTCATAGGGTACAGGGATACTAGTCATATTCAAACCATGCTTGTAATTGACTACTGAAAACATACTTCAGAAGAGACTATGTGCTTAATATTCAAAGTAAGGCATTTCAAGACAGCTAGGTGTTGTGGTTTGAGGCTTGGA